CCAAAAAATGAGGCCAGCTGTCTCCCTAAATATACTGAATGACCAGGTTTTTCCATAAATGGATTTTCATGTTCCATGATGATAATGCCAGGATTCATCGGGCTCTTGTTTAACATTTCAGCACTGTTCTGATAAGCTTATGCAATATCACAATACTTATCTTCGTCCAGAGTTGCATTAATTTTTCACCAAGATCTTGTGATGATGGGAGAGTCGGACCAGTGCATGAAGTCTTCTCCAGCACATCCCAAAGATTCTCAATGGGGTTAAGGTCTGGACACTGTGGTGGCCAATCCATGTGTGAGAATAATGTCTCATGCTCCGTGAAACCACTCTTTCACAATTTGAGCCCAATGAATCCTGGCATTGTCATCTTGGAATATACCTGTTCTGTCAGGGAATAAAAAATCCATTGATGGAAAAACCTGGTCATTCAGTATATACAGGTAGGCAGCTGACCTCATTTGTTTTCTCACATAATGTTGCTGAACCTAGACCTGACCAACTGAAGTAACCCCTATAGGTCTTGCACCATTTGTTTAGCTAACTCCAGGTGATGATTTTGTTTTGGTCCGCCGGTGTATGTACCTAGCAGGGCCACTCGGATCCTGTAACACACTATGGTAGCCAAAGCGTCTACAGTGTCTTACAGCTTCTTCCAGGTCCAGTGACAGCTGCCATGCTAAGTGACTTTTTTTCTACTGTTAAAACACAGAATTTATTAAAACTAGAGCAGTCAGAATCTGAAGCAGTTGCCCAGGGCAATCAATCAGCTTTTCTCTTTAGTTTGTTCAGTTAAGCTATGAAAATGAAAGAGAAGCTGATTGGTTTCCATGCACAGCTGCTCTAGATTTTGTCTGCTCCAGTTTTGATAAATTCCCCCCCCCAGTAAGTTTGGAGAATCATTCATTCAGCAAACCCCCAGTATTTTTCTCAATCAATGCTAGACATTTTCTGATTGGACAAGGGGCCATGCCGTGGCCAGAACCACATGGCACTGTCAGGGATAACAATTTCTGTAGCTGGAGTTCAGCTTTAAGCGGCAGTAAAGAGAGGTTTAAGGAAACATAGAAATGGAAATTTAATCGCATGGATTACAGAACACAGAAGATGATAGAAAACTGGTCTGGTTTATTTTAAATTAAATCCCAAATGAAAATAAGGATTGTATTACAGGCAAGAAGGGACAAGTGTGGAATTTAGTCAGAAAAGGGGAGAAAATACAGAACACTATATGCTTGAAAACTGGAATTTATAATTTCCCCTTTATCACAGAAAATGTCCTGAAAGGCAGAGTTCCACATTAAAAACACAGCTTTAGGCCCTTGAGGTACAGGGCAACAATTTAAATACATTTTGCTAAGTGACACAAAATGCTTGATGTATGAAATGAGTTGTAAAGGTTACCTTTTGTTTCCCAAACCAACCAGTCAGCATTAATGCCAAACTATCAGCTTTAAGGTTTAGGTCAGAAAATGAATTAAGGTCCAACTATGGTCCAACTGCCCATGCCACTTACAGTGCCCTTTGAATGTATTCACCACCCTGGTGTTTTTCCTATTTTGTTGCATTACAACCTGCAATTAGAGGAGAATTATGACCTAAGGGCAAATAAAAATACCCCTTTCCATGATTGTAGTAGCATTCTTCCTTTTTTCTAAAGTCGCAGCACATCACAGATAAAATTCTCAAAACCTGTAGTAAACGGCCATCTTCAGTTCTGCTCCGAGCTCCTTTCCTCTTAGGGGGCGTTAACCGTTGATTAGCCCGCCCACAGCTTTTTTTACAAATTATCCCATTGCTGTGGCCGCGCTTCCTATCATCGTGCACAGCTGTGTTTTGTCAGCGTGTGCACGCTGGCATTTGTGAGCGGGAGGCAGAGTCTGAAGTGAAAAGGCAGCAGCAAGAGACAGTAAGAAATAAACGGACTCAGCTTCCCTGCACATTCAGTGCTCTTTCCCCTCTCTCATCAGCGATCCCCAGTAATTAGGATGTCAGCATCACACAGGGGTAGAGAGAGGGGATAAAGAGCCATCCCTCTCTCCATCATTTACCAGAAATAGGCAAGTCCATATATGGTGATAATTCACTGGGTCACTGTCACTGGGTATCCCTGCAGACTGGCAAGCATCCGATCAGCAGACATCTCCAGTGACATCATTCACCATATATGGACTTGCCCATCTGTGATAAATTATGAAGAGAGAGCTTCTGACCCGGGACAAGATCTTCTCAATGCACTGCACACTACACGTGAAGTAGGCGGGGCAGATGGAGAGGAGGAGAAGGTGCAAAATCATTTTGGCAGGCTAGTTTGGCAAGAGTACTGCCACATATCTCTTTATGCAGTAGGCATATTGGGCTTTATTCATAAAAGGTCAGTGTGACTTTTAGAGCCTGATTTTTGGATGTTGGCAGATTTGTCCTTTTCACATTAATCACTATTATTTTTTCACATGGAAATATATCTGTGTAAATTGTGCTAATCATTACCATGGGAGTTTTCGGTCTAATTCGTCAACTGGTGTCATGCAATTTTTTAAGTGAAAATGTAATTTTAATTTTTTTTACTGGATGATACAATAAAAAAAACAACAACTGATTGTTTAGTCCAGGGGTAGACAGCCTTGGCACTCCAGCTGTGGTAAAACTACAAATTGCATCATGTCTCTTCCTCCGGGAGTCATGCCTGTGGCTGTGAGAGTCTTGCAATGCATAATGGCACTTGTAATGGCAAACACAACTCCCACACTAGGTATGTTTAATAGAAGCTGTTCTATTGCTTATTATTTTATTTTATCCTTGGTAAGGGATAAATATCAGGAAAATAAATTCTCATCATTGTCAACTTATAGTACATAGCTGCTAACAGATGTACAAACGTATAGATGATGTGTCCTGCTACTCCACTCTTTTATTATTCTTTCTTTCTTAATTAAAGAAGAATTCTGGGAAAATAAATTCTTGCACTGCAAGGGTTAAGTGCTTGTTTTGTCTAGGGAGCTAAAATAACAGAGTTATACTCACCCCAACCACAATCAAAGCTGGCTGTTAGACCTCCGCTCCAGTGGTCTAAGGTCCAATGAGTTATCAAATTCTATACAGTGTATAGGACGTGCAGACGCCGAGGAACAAACCATTGCTGGACTCCTGCCCTAGGGGTTAAGAGGAAATCCCCTTTCAGTTGTCGCTGCAACCCTCACCTCTTGTTCTAGTGACAACTCTATAATTTTTGATTTCACATCAATTTCTCTTCCAGTGACAATGCCACCAGGACAAATAGAGAGGGTGAAAATCCTTAGTGTGGAAAAAAAGCAGGACTGAAAACCAGACAGGGCTTCTAATTTTTCCCTACCCTATCAAAAACAAAAAAAATATACACTTTAAAGGTGAACTCCAGGCAGATGTTATAGACAGAAATCAATGCAGCTCAATAATCATTATTACATCATTAAGGGGGGTTATTCACAAAGATAGCCGAAGAATCAGCCGTAGCTCTGGCTGATCCTTCGGCTAGCTTCGGTTGCGGGAGCCCTTCGGTTCAGTTGAACTGAAGGGCTGCTGTACGGGCTATTCACTATAGCCTGTACAGCTCCCGTAGGTGGCCGAGCAGCTCTCCCGAGCCGAAGGCATACGCTTCGGCTCGACTGAGCCGAAAGTGACAGCCGTAGTGGGGCGAACGGCAGGCCGAACCCCTCGCAAATGACAGCTGGGCGGAGCCAGCCGTGATCTCAGCCCAGTTGTAATGACAGATCAGCGTCCCTAAATGACCTTGGGAAGCTGAACTGTCATTAAAAAATTACAACTGGGCAGAGCCGGCCGTGACGTCACAGCCTGCTCTGCCCATTTGTAATTCATTGGCCGGGACCTGCTAGAAAAATCGGCCAATAGGAAACAGTTGGGCGGAGCTAGCTGTCCCTGCTAGCTCTCCCCAATGAATTTTCTTTTTTAATGATTATTTTTTCTTTTTTTTTAAACCTTTCTTTTTTTTAAATGTATTACTTATTTACATTTTTAAACATTTTTTTCAACTTTTTTCATTGATTTCCTATTCTGCTCGGTACCAAGTAGGTACCAAGCAGAATAACGAGCTGAATGACGCTCGGTGGCATTCGGCTATTCACTCACTGCCATTCAGCCCCTATGTGAATAGGGGCGAACGGCAGCGAGTGAGCTGCCGGAGCTTCGGCTCAGTCGATCCAGATGTTGGATTGGCTGTCAGCCGAACATGCAGAGCATGTTCGGCTGACCAAAGTGGAGCCGGAGCCAGCCGATGTACGGCTGAAATCAGCCGTACAAGCTTGAAGTGAATAGCCGAACATCTTTCGGCTCCCTTCACTTCGGGTAGGTTATTCACTTGGCTGCCTTCGGCAGCTTTGTGAATGACCCTGTAAATGTATTTTTTAAATACTAGCAGTGTAAGTACCTAAATTTGACGTGGTAACAGCTGTATGCAGTATCTACATAGAAGGGCTGGAGTGTTTGATGAAGAAGCAGAAAAAAAGAGTCAATCAGTTCATGTGCTGATAAGAAGCATGCTAATAGGAAGAGAAAGCAGAGTGACAGAGTGATGAGTTTATCACTGTGCTGATTCTCCTTTTACTGTCCAGAAATAGACTGGGGGGTCCAGGGCAGCCTGGGCTCAGAGGAAGTGGGTTCAATGATGCTGGCCTTTAGACTAAGGGCATCAAGTGGCAGGAAAAAAAAAACAATCTCTGCATCAAAATACTGCATCAAAAGCTGGTTTTGCTATTTTTCTTTTATTGGACTGTTCACTTTTATCCTGTCTTTTTGGCTGGATATCTACTTCAATAATGCAAAAATAAAATCACGTGGAAACGAACTGTGCAAAAAGTAGGAAGGAACCTGTAAGTAGGAAATGTTTCATGTGGTTCATGTATCTATATTGGTGAATCATTCTGATATCATACATACACAACTGTTTGCAGGGTGCAGATACAGTGCAGCTACAGTAACATTCACTTTGTCTTGTCTTACAGTTGGGAAGACGTCTCTTATCACAAGATTTATGTATGACAGTTTTGACAACACATATCAGGTAAACTATATATATTTTGAGTCCCTGATTCTTAGCATCAATGTTTACGTGGAATATTGTGTCCTGGAATAAAAAGATTTACAGACATTTATTTCACTGGGAGCTCAGCTGCGGATGTGATAAATTTACACAGTGTCCTGACATAAAAATAGATAACAGGGATGTTATTTTTCTACGTTTCTAGAATTGACTTGTAAATACAAATCCTTCCAGTTGGCTCCGTTTTGAAAAGCTGCAAAGACAAAATCCTTCTGAATAATATATGTATATACAAATATTAAATAAGACTGCTAAAATCCCACAAAATAAATCATTTATCGGAGGTAGTTGGTGGGCGATAGGTTTCCTTTTATCTGTTATGAATGGATTAACTAACCAGTGTAAATTCTGGGTCAGAGAAGCTTCAATACTTTATAAAAATAAGAGAAAGTTTGAGTTAAAACAAGAAAAAATTATGTTATAGTTTGAGAGAAAAAAAAAATGAGGTTGCAATCTGTTTTTGAACAGCTTGCAGCACCAGCTGACAGGCTGCAAAGTCCCTCCTACCGGAAGGATTGACGGCATTGCCTCTGTTCATGAAACCCTCCCACTGTGAGCTATAGTGTCTGTGAGGGGGAGCATGTGAGACACAAATAAAAGAGGATTTGGTTCAGTCAAGGAAGGATGTTTTTTGTTTATTTTATGAGGCTTGTGCATCACACAGTAACTAGATGTAGTACTTGTTTAGATTGTCATACGGGAACCTTTAGTTATACTTTAAATGTAAGACTTAACAGATGTAACCCTTAATCACTTAACTCTGTGATCAATGTGGGCCAAGATGTCAGCATTATGAACAAGTGATCCTGGAAATCTCTTATATAGTATACTGTATACGTAGATATAGGTTGCCCTTATATATCCCCTACCTCTCTATTTATGCATACATAAACTATAAAAGTGCTTCAGTTCATTTCACTTCTTTTTTTTGTTATTTCTATAGGCTACAATTGGAATAGACTTTCTGTCAAAGACAATGTACTTAGAGGACCGAACAGTGAGTATTTGGAGTCTCTGTTACATACGCAGCTTCTACCAAGTCTACAGTATTTTCTTTTCTTTTAAAGGTATATAAATACGATGGAATTGAAATATCAAGATGAACTACATTACCTATAGTGCACAGGACTTCATGGATTAAGTATGTAGATCAGCAGACTGATTTACATGTGGCCTTTGGGTTAGTTTTGAATGATATGTTCTCAATAATTTAGCCACTGAACATACAGTATATGTGTGTGATTGAAAAGAGCCCCTTAGCACTTCAAAGTTCTATAATGGTTGTGAGTTAAATGTCACCGCTAAATAAGTGCTTACAGTTGGGGCACAATGAAGAACATAGGTGAGGATTTGCAATTTAGCAATAAATTCCCTACTCTGTCCTTTCTCTTCCCAATGTGACAAAAGCTTGCAATACTGTAAAAAAAAAAAAAGAAAATCCCCAAAATTAACATATTTTGACATTCTTCACATTATAAAATAAAAAGCTAAATGTTACAAAGTGTTGCTGTACAGATCTTTCTGACAATGAAGTCTTTAACTTGCTTACTTTGTTGTTACAAATTAAATGAAGCATTTCTTGGCTCAAATTGAAGTTCTTGGCATGTGTAATACCTCCATATGCTTTAGCTGGCAGGAATGAGTGTTGTGCTATATTCCTATACAGTATAGTGCCATGTACCAAAAGGACGCCACACCCGAACTGTAAGAGGAAAATCATTGTAACAGATAGCCTGCTGGGCTCAGTTACCTCAGGTTGGAAGTTGATATCACTGGTCCAAAACATTTCACCATCTTGTTAATCTTACTGAATCACACAGGAATCCATATTTACCAATTAGATCCCACCTATGTTTAGATTTTTTTGACAATAAAAGTTTGCTTATGCCTTGTTGTTATGGGTTATAGCATATGTTGATTATTTTCCTTGAAATACATAAGCAATTATCCTAAGGCACATTTACTATGTTGTTTTTGTGTTTTATTCCTTGCTAAATAGTATTTAGTAACATGCTCTTAACGAGATAGTGATCCCTAACTCACTGGAAGCTCAGTATTAAATTGCAGATTAGCAACAGTCAGCTCAGGAGCAGCAATGCACAACATATAGCCAGCTGATTAGCAGTAGGGGGTAAAAATAATCGCATTCTGACATTATGGGAATCAGTGGCGTAGCGTGGGTTGTCAGCGCACTGGGCAAGGCAAGTACTGCGCCTCCCTACCCCTAGTGCGTTGTGACAGCTCCGGTAGTCAAAGTCACAGTCTACCTGTCATCTCTGATGAAGCTCTTCCAAACACACGCAGAGACCACAAGGCTGAGACCCAACCTGACTATTATCCAACACTGGAGCTTTCGCACGAACTCAAGGAAAATATAAGGGATATGGGATATCAAGTAGGAAGTCACGACCAGTGCTCAGGGGACCAGCTGATTCTGCAGGAAACTAAAACGTTTTAACATCAAGGAGCAGCATCCATTCTAAGTGGTTTCATCAGCATTTGAAATAGCCCAAAATCCTTTTGACTTTAATATCACTTTAAGGCTGGGTTCACACCTAGGCGTATTGAATATGCGCGTCTGTCGCGTGTTTTTTTTACCGCGATTCGCGGTAAAAAAGTCGCGCGATTCCGAAGGCTACTTGGCTGAATCCCAATGTAAAACGCCCTACAAAACAGCCCAAAGAAGTACATGTACTTGTTTGAGCGTAGGACGTTTTGTAGCGCGTTTCAGACGGGCGGAAATACGGAAAGGTGTGAACCAGACCCATAGAAAACAATGGAATTTTCATGTACGTTTTGTTGAGCGTTCATAGAGCGTTGAACACGCGACAAAACGTAAAGGTGTGAACGGGGCCTAAGGCTGGGTGGGCGATGCAGCAGGTGCACCTGTGCAGAGAGATCGCCTATGCTCCCAGTACAGGACTTCTTTCTCCCCACCTATGTGATGATGGGTGCCTGTAGTAAAGGGCTCCTTGCGCTCACCATGCCTGCAGTATGTGTACCAAGCCATGTTGGGGGGGTGGGGGGGGAGACCCTGGCCTCCAGGATGTCAGCTGTGAATGGCCCCCAGACATCAGGCACAGCACAGACAAACAGCGCTGGATTCGGCTGACATACTTGTTGTCTTCTTTCTAGTTGGGGCAGGTCATTTTCCTAGGTATTGGGAGTCCGGGCACACGAACGGGTTCACTCAGCTTTTTCAGCTTGGCTGTGATCGAGAGGGAGGTTTAGGTGCTCAGGTGCCTGTAATTGGCCAGACGCTTACCCCTTTGGGGGAGGGGGCGGGAACCCCGTGCTGTGATGTGATTGGCCCGCCTGGGCAAGTAGACGGGCACACCATTCCAAGGAGGATTGTGCACCTGTTTCTTTCCTTGGGTGTTTCTTGAAGCCCTTGTCTGAATGTTGAGAGAGCAATCTGGGGCTGGGTTGCTGGTTGGTGTGTGGCCTGAACGGCCCTGCCCGCATCGCCCCTAAAAATTTGGCACCCGGGGCAACTACCCCTGTGGACCCCCCACGCTATGCCCCTGATATAAATCACATTTATTTCTCAGCCATGGCATGCTAGGGTGAAGAGTATCCACCTGGGAAAAGGGTGAAGAGTTTGGAGAAGGCAGGAGAAGTGAACAATCTAGGATAACATAGCTGAACTGGAAAGTGAATTTTTCCAAATCAGCTATTTTGGCCTAGATTGTTCGCTTCTCCTGCCTTCTCCAAACTCTTCACCCTTTTGTACATAGCCCTGTTAGCATTAAAGATTAGAAGAAAAAAATATATATAAGCCTTAACCCCCTTTTAGGCTCTTGGAGATTCTTATGCACTAAAGATAATGGAAAGATCACTGAACATTGTGCTAGTAAACTGCCTTACACAACACTACTTCCAAAATCTGTTGTTTCTTCTGTGACTTGTTACATGTTATCTTGTCCCAGGTTAGACTGCAACTTTGGGACACCGCTGGTCAAGAGAGGTTCCGTAGCCTCATCCCAAGCTACATCCGAGACTCTACTGTTGCTGTGGTAGTTTATGACATAACAAGTGAGTAGTTTTTCTGTGTTTTATGTCCAAATATATGTAGAACATTGAAAAGATAATAACTCATAAACTAAATTATGTAAAATCTAGGGATGCACCGATACCGGTTTTTCGGTATCGAGTACGAGTACCGATACTTATATTTCGGTACTCGTCGATACCGAGTACCGATACCGCCACTTCCGGTGGGCATAGAGCCGTCTTACCTAGCAATCAGGAAGCCAGGAAGGCTTCTTGATCTTCCCAGCCAATCGGCATCGAGGCCGGCCAAACAGATCTGACAATATGGTGACACGACCCGGCACCTAATTCACCTCACATAGATACGTATCGCATTCATTAACGTACCAGTCTCTCGGCCAGCACTCTCCAAGTGGGCAGACACCGCTCTCCAAGATCTCCCCACGTCTCCTGTGTACAGCGCCCACGTGATCGGCGCTCAGCCTGCTACTGTGCATGCGCAGACTGCCCAGCACTCGCATTCAGAAATCCTGTGCATGCGCAGTAGCAGGCTGAACGCTGATCACGTGAGCGTTGTGCAGTGTGCACACAGGAGGCGGCAGATCTGGCCGAGGAACTGAATACAAAGGATCTATGTTAGGGGAATTAGGTACCTGCAGGGTGGGTGGTCGTGTCGTTATATTATCAGATTTGTTTGCCCAGCTTGACACTGATTGGCTGGGAAGCCGGCTTCATGCCAGCCAAACATCATGGAGCCAGGTTTCGGGCTCCATCTTTCCTCGCGGCACTGCCAGTCAGAGGAAATCTTCCTCTGACCGGAAGTTCTAGTATCTGGAAAGGTATCGGAGCATTTGGGCGAGTACGAGTACTCACCCAAATACTTGGCATCGGCACCGATGCTAGTATTGGTATCGGTGCATCCCTAGTAAAATCCATAACTTACTAAGTTATATATTGGAGAGACTAAAAAGAACAGTAGGAGTTTGGTGTTGACAGCCCCAGTCTCTGCACAGAGCTTAATTTCCCATTAGGCACTTACTCGCATTGGTACTTAGGGCTTACAAAGGTTTTAGGACCTACAGAGGTAAAATTATTGATTATTATTGTTTATCAACATTGGACAAGGAAGACAGGAAAGCCATTTAATTATTTTGGCATTAAAGTCACTAAGTCAAACTCTTCAGGTGTGGTATATGAACCCCCAGGTGATTATATTACCCCCATGCCCAATTTATGTGTACTGACTGACACCTTGTCTATGTATCAACAATCAATTTCCATCTCCTGTCACAGATGGCCTCCAATAACTCTCTAAACAGACACATTCACCTGATACACAGTAGGACATGATCCGAGATGGCATTGTGCTTGACATCATGCCTACTGTTTCATTACATCGCCCCTTGGTGGGCTCACATCTGCACTACTGCATTAGGGAAGCTTTCATTGATCATTATGAATAAGTCTGGAGTAGGGCAGTGGGTTCCAAAGGCCTATGAGCACTGGGCCTATGAACACAAAAATTCAGCCCTAATTGCTATTACACAGTCATGCCCGAATAATGGCACCCATGAGCTATTGGGCAGCAGCTCTGATAGTTGTCCTTTGTCACAGCAGTAGTCATTGATTGTGGGTAATTATATGGTTGGAAATTGCATATGCATGTTCTTTATATACCTGTGCATCTTATCCACTATCACTTAAGACTTGTTCTCTTGTGTCTTGCACCAAAAAAACAAATTCACATTTTTCATATTAGCTCCTTATTATCAGTGACAGCTGAAAGTCAAATTCACATAGCTTTTCCTATTAAGAAACTAGAGTCTGATAAGACCAACATAGAGCTAGAGTTATCACACAGCCGCACTTACTGGCTTACTACAGTAATGAAGTGAATATTGAACATTTAAAAGATAAATATGTGCAGGTTGGCATTTATTAATGCTTCATTTATATGAATTTATTTCTAGCACATATTATGAAAACACATGCTTATTGATATTCTAGGTTTTCTCAAATCATTCTTCTTATTAACATACAATTTCTCCTGACAGTAGAAATAATAAACCAATTATGTAAAAAGACTATTTTACTAGCAGACATTCTAATTCTAACGGAGGCATCTGTACCCTGTACGTGAACCTGGAACTATTTACCCCACTTGTCATAGATAAAAGAAACCGTTCTTGTTAACTGGTCTTGTATTTAGATTAGGGGTTCACACTTCATTCTGACTTTTCTGATCTGCATGCTTGCTCTATGTCAGTGATTCAGCAATTATTGAATCCAGCCAGCCAGGCAACAAACAGTTTTAAAAGGAGTCTAGCCAGCCAGCCAGCCAGGCAACAATATCTACACCTCCTCCCTTGGTCAGTTAATAACCTCACATGGCTTCCAATACCATCTCCATGCTGATGACTCAAATCTATCTTTCTACTCTACAACTCACCCCCTCTGTGTCCTTGCGTGTCACTAATCTACTAACTGACATATCAGTCTGGATGTCATAACACTTCTTAAAACTAAACCTTTCAAGAACTGAGCTCATGGTATTTCCTCCCGCCTGTGCACCTTCCACAAACTTTTCACTTGAGATTGTTAACACAGCTAACCAGTCCTCCCCCCATGCCAATGTGCTAGGTGTCATCCTTGCCTCGGTCCTCACCTTTCTTCCCCACATCCAATCACTATCCAAATCCTGCCGCCTTCACCTTCGTAACATCTCCAAAATATGCCCCTTCCTCACCAATGAAATCACAAAATTACTCATCCACTCCCTTGTTATATCTCGTCTTGACTATTGCAACTCCCTCCTCATTGGCCTTCCACTACACAGGCTATCCTCCCTTCAGTCTATCATGAATGCAGCTGCTGGACTCATCCACCTAACCAACCGCTCAGTGTCTGCAACCCCCCTCTGCCAATCCCTCACTGGCTTCCACTCGCCCAGAGGATAAAATTCAAAATATTAACAATCACTTACAAAGCCATCCACAACTCTGCCCCCGGATATATCTCAAACCTCATCTCAAAGTATCACCCTAACCTTTCCCTCCGCTCTTCCAAAGACCTCCCTGTAACAGGTGCACTCGATCACTCACCTGTTCCTCGTTCCAGGACTCCTCCCCCACTCCCTAGTTAAGGCTGAATGTTACACTTGCCTGACGTTCGAGCAAGTGTGAAGACGCCAGGCAAGTTCCTGTATCCCAGCACCGAACCTCTTCCTCTTATTGGGCCGGACAGAGCCCCTCCAAAACCACCAGCACATCCTGCTTTGACTTCCCTGCAATTCGGTCTCCACTACCTCCTTCATCCCCAGCTTCAGCAAGGACTATTACAATCTGGACTGCAGTTACTCTAAAGATCCACCGGAGGGCACCAACATTCTCCTTATCATTCCTATCAACTAAAATAGCAGTAAGCATACCACAGACTGTGATTTCCAAATGCTTGCATATTGATAGAACTGTGCATAGGGATAACTTGATTGCTCCCATTGATTGTTGTCATCCTTCACCCCACTAATCTAAAAGGACTGCTCCCTACAATAAAACCTCATCTATTTTTCATGCTAAGTAATTGTTGCCTAACTCATTACCATAAGACTGTAAATTCACTGTGGTGTAGGATTGCACCCCCTCCTCATACTTCTGCAGCTGTGATCCTCCACCTAAAATAAGACCTGTGGGGTCTGGTTGTTACACTCCTGCTTCCCAGCTCCCTAGTCAACTCCTCTCATGCTCTCCTCCAGGACTTCACTAGAGCTACTCCCATCCTATGGAACTCTCTACCCCAACCTGTCCGTCTATCTCTGAATCTGACTGCCTTTAGGCGATCCCTTAAGACTCGTCTCTTCAGGGAAGCCTATCCCACCTCAACCTAACCACTGAACTATCACTATCTCAAACAATTCATCCCCACACAGCTACCGCCTCATGTATCACCTCCCCCACCCTTTAGATCGTAAGCCCTCAGGGGCAGGGCCCTCCTTGCCGTCTTGTCTTGAATTGTATTGTGATTGTAATGTCTTCCTTATATTGTAAAGCGCTGTGCAAACTGTTGGCGCTATATAAATCCTATAACAATCAGTTTCAGAAGGAATCTAGCCAGGCAAGCGGTTTCAGAAGGAGATCAGCAATAGCATCCTGTAAATTTCTCTCTCTATTACTTTTCTTTAAATGTACTGTAGTTGGCTCCAGGGGCGTCCCGAGGCTGGGTGACACCCGCCGTGACATTGCTGCGCACATGCGTGTTGACATCATCGCGCATGTGAGGTCGTCTTATTGAGGCCTGCTGGTGGCCATCTTCTTGATGGACACCAGAAGAGAGAGGAGGGGACGTTCACCCGGTGGGATGAGGTATGCCGCCGCTTCCCTCCTCTCTCCTAAAACTGTTGGGCTCTCAGTCCGTGACCGAGTGCCTGACTTTTCATAGAGGGTGACACCAAAATGACTGTTAGTCATTTTGGTGTCACCCCTCCAATGGTGGCACCTGGTTGTGGGCCGCACCCCCGCTCCCCCCTTGTGACGCCACTGGTTGACTCCTTTGTCTTCTGCCATGGTGCACACTGCTAATGGTATACATATTTCCAAAACATGAAAACAAAACAGAGCTAGAATTTAGTACACACTGGGGGGAATTTATCAAAACTGAAGCAGACAAAATCTGAAGCAGACTTGCACTGCAACCAATCATCTGCTCTGCCTCATTTTCAAATCTTACCTGAGCAGACTGAAGAGAGATGCTGATTGGTTGTCATTGGCAACTGCTCCAGATTCTGTCTGCTCCAGTTTTTATCAATTCCCCCCAATGTACTTTAAATAAAGCGGGGTGAGATGATTAGTTTAGCATGATAATCAACTTTCAGCCTCTGATGGGGATAAGTCTGAAGCACAGAGAAGGCAGCTGAAGTTTTTATGTTGGCTATATTCAGGAAAAGAAACCATTGCAATCTACAGTGTGTGCACACAAATGAATGTCCTGCCATCTACTGGAGCTGATAGATAATGCAGTGTGCGTCACTATCGGCAAGAGACCCCCTGCGGGGCAAACTCATTTTGCTAATCAGTAAAAAACACTGTTAGCCCATTAGATAATTAACTGCAGCAATTAGCGGGTCATTAACATCTTGTTAGCAGGATGTGTTTCTTTTCTTATCACATTGCTCTAAGTTGCGTTCACAGATTTGAGAACGTGTGAATAGGAGGAAAATATAGTATTCACAGAACATATCAGGATCTTCCTATAAAGGGCTCAAGTTCAGATTCATCCAACATTTTACTATGCATTTACTGACACATTAGCTTTCTGTATTTACTTGGACCATCATATAGACTTTTCTGCTGTATTTGTACAGCAGCGATTGTCATTTTTATAGTTCAAGCACGTGTTTACCTCCTCCGACAGCTGAGACCTCCTGCAATTTCTGCAGCCTGGCCACTAAAAATCGAGTACAGTGCTGTCCGCACCTGAGCACTAGACTTCAATGGGATGCACCTGTATTGAGGAGAAGCATCCCATTTAAGTCTATGGCCTGGTTCACACCTGAACGTTTTGTAGCGTGTTCAACGCTCGACGAACGCTCTACAAAACGCTCAAACATCTAAATCCCATTGTATTCAATGGGTCTGGTTCACACCTTGCCGTATTTCCGCCCGTCCGAACGCGATACAAAACGGCCTACGCCCAAAGAAGTACATGTACTTCTTTGGGGCGTTTTGGTCTCGCGTTTCTATTGGGATACAGCCAAGTAGCCCACGGAAACGCGCGTTTGCCACGCGGTTTTTTTACCGCGACGCGAACCGCGCGACAAACGTGCATATTCAATACGCCTAGGTGTGAACCCAGCCTATGGGAGGAGGTAAGTGTGCACCAGCTGAAGGGAGGACCCAGATCTGTATATTGATGGAGATAGGGAGGGGGGATGGGCAATTTTACATTTAAATGTGTACATGTACAATAAATTAAGAGTTAATGATTAACTTCCCCCTAGCTCCTAACTGAATCCCAACAGTTGACCTGACCCGGGCATGTATATGGTGCCAACAATTTATGCAGGCTTTACATACCGCACATTTACATTAACCTTCCTTAATCCCTAAAAATGAATCCTTAACATTTTATCTAACCCTAAACTATAAATCAAAATGTAACAATTTTAACATAATGCTAATCTTAAAGATAACCACCGGTAGTTTTTCTAGTTCTGATAGAGTAGGGAAGGGTTAGAACCTATGGCAGGTGTCTATTGCTGTCTGTGCCTCCAGTGGGGGAGGATATACATTTACTACTTGTCCTTTGGGCACCATGTCACTGGGACAGGAAGTGATGGGAAATCTCTTGAGTGGGGGCAGAGATTGCAACAAAGTTAACTTTTTGTTAGTATAATGTAGGAAAGGTTAGAACAGGGATGGGCAACTCTGGCCCTCCAGCTGTTGTGGAACTACAAGTCCCATGAGGCATTGCAAGACTGACAGTTACAGGCATGACTCACACAGGCATGTTGGGATTAGGATTGCCACCTTTTTTTTCAAGCAAAACCCAAACACTCTAGCACTGCGTGGCAATTTTTTTTATGGAGAATGTATAGGAGAGAGCCAGGAGAGACAGCCAGGAGAGGGAGAGAGAGAGGAGAAACAGTCAGTGGAGAGAGCGAGGAGAGACAGCCAGGAGTGAGAGCATGGAGAGACAGCCAGGGGAGATAGTGAGGAGATACAGCCAGGGGAGAGAGTGATGAGATACAGCCTGGGTAGAGTGTGAGGAGAGACAGCCAGGAGAAAGAGCCAGGAGGATGAGCGGTGAGAAACAGCCAGGAGAGAGAGAGGAGAAACAGCCAGGAGAGACAGCCAGGAGGATGTCTCTCCTGGCTGCCATAGGCAACCAGGAGAGAGAGCAAGGAGAGACAGCCAGGAGAGAGAGCAAGGAGAGACAGCCAGGAGGATGAGCAAGGAGAGACAGCCAGGAGAGAGAGCAAGGAGAGACAGCCAGGGGAGATAGTGAGGAGAGACAGCCAGGGGAGAGAGATCAAGGAGAGACAGCCAGAAGAGAAAGTGAGCAGAGACAGCCAAGAGGATGAGCAATGAGAGACAGCCAAGAGAGAGATCGAGGAGAGCAGCCAGGAGAGAGAGTGAGGAGAGACAGCCAGGAGAGATAAAGAAGAGAGACAGCCAGGGAAGAGAGAGGAGAGACAGCCAAGAGAGAGAGAGTGAGGAAGGATAGCGAGCAACACATCTGCCTGAAGCAGAACCCCTGTGCCCTTCAGGACTTATCTGCACCCTGTTTTTCAGACACCTCCTTGCTCCCTGAATTCCATTGTCTCTCTGTGTCCCGTGCCTTCTCTATGCACTCAAGTTGGAACACTAGGACCCCGTGGTTGCCTCTGTCCACTTGACATTGTGATATCTTGTTTCCAAGTTTCAGCGGACCCAGACACAAGACAGCCCCTTCCCGGACTCAAACCCTGGAGTGTCTAGGTGAATCCTGGACAGGTGGCAACCGTAGTTGGGATTTGTAGTTAAAACAGCGTTGGGGGGCCGGAGTTGCCCACTCCCGAGTTAGAACCTTGTCTTTTTTATCACTGTCTATGTCTGCCTCTGCTAGAGACACTGGTTCCACTTATTCCTTGTCCTGTTTAGTGTCACTAGGACATGATGTGAAGTGAATCTCCCTAATGGGGGGTCACAGAAAACAGTAAGAGACTGTTAAAGGTTCCAACCATGTTCAAAATCAAATAATGTTTGGTGGAGTTGGTTTAACCCTTGACTCCTTACCCCAACTATAACCTTATTCCTCAAATTTATACTTACTTAGGTACTCGATGCCGCTGCTAAATTAAGCAGTGCTTGCTTCTATACTCTGAAAAAAACACAAACACACACACCATGAAGTGTTCTATTATCATATCCCTGGAACAAAGTACAACATAAATACACAGATAATATTGTGTCATTTATGGTAGAACAGAGGTGGTTAAATAAAGCATTGGAGCTGTGTTTTTTTTAAATCTGAGCTGAACATTTTATATACAGATAATACCATTTTACCACTACGTGGCACTGCTTTATTGTGTTATGTATCAATCCAACATTGATGATAACAGTTTGCTGCAGTTAATCATTTTCATTTGACAGATTTGAACTCCTTCCATCAAACATCCAAATGGATTGATGATGTCAGAACAGAAAGAGGAAGTGATGTCATAATAATGCTTGTTGGGAATAAAACAGATCTGGCAGATAAACGGTAACAACAAATTGCTTTTTCACTATTTGCTCTTATGTAGCTATTTATAGTATCAAAGGGTTATGGGTAGGCAGTGATTTCACCAGTCTCCACTCATTGTTGGATGTTCCATTCTATGATTCCTTGGGATATTTGTTTTCCTTATTAATATATGTAACCCTTAATCAACGTTCTCATATAATCAAGAGGGGCTTGGTACACTTTGAAAGTTAAAGAGAAACTTTACCCATATCTTCAAAATAACAACAAAGGCACAAAGGTTTAGTAATGATAATCTACAAACACATACTTCTAGATAAGTGCCGGCTTTGTATTCTTTGCATACCTTTTTCTTCTTCTCTTCCCCAGTCTTTTGGCAGTGGCCATTTTAACTAAGGGCAGACTACTAGATCTCCCTTTACTTACTGGAACTCTAGCACATGTGACTAGGACATGTGACCATGCACATCATCTCAGGGGAGGGAAATGCCTTTCCCTGAGATCATATGAGATTACAGATGAGATTTCCCAGCAATGCTCTGCTGATGTAACCTTCCCAGGATGCAGTGATTGGGCACAATTACATCATTTGTGTCAATGTGGGCCAGGAAGTGGAAAAAAAGAAATTGTAAGTAAAATAAAAATATGTTTGTTTAGCTAATGAATGTGGAATGATTTCATATCAGCATGTAGAGCTTTATATGGATGTGATTTTTAGTCAAAGGGAGTAAAGGTCCGCCTTAAGCCAGGACATGATCTCCCCCCCAGAATTCAGTAATGGCCCTTTCTAGGTCCATCTGGTATTTTAAATTCACTCACTAAACATCCTTGTGGCTGCTGGGTTTAATATGCTGTATATCACTTCCTCTGTCTTCCTTCAGAAATAAATGCACTAGGGCAGTTTACAATCTATAAATATTGTCACTTTTGAAACCTGACCTCCATAAATCCAAAGCTTTCCCAATTTTGCAGCCTCAACACTTCTCCACATCCTGTTATTGTATCTGAACAGTACTGTCTAGGGCCAGTGTAATGCTAGCCTGTTTTATTGACCCAAGTAACACAACAAACATTAGAATATCTCATGGGCTTAGAATTTGAATGTATTAAATCAATAAATATTGATATTTAATGTTTCTACTATGGAAGACAAATGCTGTTTTCTCTGTTTTATTTTCCTGGAACGTATATAAGCCAGATGATGTGTCTTTGCTGCAAAACTTCATCTGTGTGCCCCCTACACAATCCTTATAACCAGAGCCGGATTTACTCCACCTGCAGCCCCAAGGCCAGGTTCCACAATACGCCCCCCCAATCCGGGCCTGCTTATAACTGGCTTGTAGATCATGGGAATTGTCTATTTAACTGTTTGTTCAGGATTGACTATTACCATGCTTTGTTACTAAGGGGTCTATTCACCAAGCTGCCGAAGGCAGCCGAGTGAATGACCGATCTGAAGTGAAGTGAGCCGAACACTGTTCGGCTATTCACTTCAGGCTGGTAGATCCTTCGGCAGCTTCGTGAATAGACCCCTAAGTAGCATTATGTATGAATTATGTTTAATTGGGGAAAGCATAAGCAATCTTTAGTTCAGTGCATATAATGCCTGGCTAAACTGAGCTAAAGAAAAACAAATGCTCAAGAGAAGATGTTTATAATGAGATATGTCATACCCCTAAAAGAGGACCTGAACTCTGGAAGCTAAGCTGTGCTCAAAAAGGCAAATGGAGGACAAAGGACATGTCACTAGTATTGCAGCTTATCTATCTATCTTTGCTGACTTAACATTCCTTGTTCCACAGTGCATTTCTTTGTGGAGGTAGCTATTTTGGTAGAGGCAGGGCTGTGCTTACTCACGTCAGAGCTTCCCCCTAATAACTGGTGATCTAATAACTAGTAGGGTAATGATCGAGAAACAGCAGGAGAGGTGATAGAAGTGCAGTTCCATAGAATGAATAAAGTAGGAGCAAGGAGATCCTTGTATTGCAGGTCCAAAGTGAAAAGCTTCCTCTCCAGAAAGGAATACAGTGAAAAGAACAATAATAACCTCACCAAATCCCACTCCAGATCTCGATGGACTAGCAGTCAGAGGCAGCAGTGCCTTAGATGATCTCACACTGTATACATACTGCTAAAGGTACAGGAAATGCACTGCCATTTTCTTAGGAAGAACAAGTAGATTTTTTTTTAGGATGCGGTTGAGGCACAATTAACATTTCTAGATGTAGCAAGTTTTCACTTTTTAAGTTCAGGTCCACTTCAGGTGTCTTCCTTTTACATAACAGTATACAGGATATAAGGCAAAAGAATTCATAGACAGTGAAGGCGCTTGATGACACAAAGTAGTAACCTTCCTCTGTGCTTGCTGTCATACACGAATATGGGTCCTCCCAATAGTTTAAACAGGAAAAGCAAAGAATGTGTAGATTACGTAGTAGCACTAGAAAATGGGAGGTATTACTTTTTTATTTTCTGGCCCAGAACCCAAAACATGTATGCAGATCAGGTGTTCTGACTTCATTCTGGCTTCTTCAAGCTTGTTGCAGGTCACTGATTTAGAAAACAATAAAGCCACTAAGCAACTAGCATTTGTAAAAGAAGGTAGGCAATGGTAGCCTACATATTTCTCTGAGGCAAGCTTTCCTTCAAAGGGAGATAACAATAGGCTCCATTGGTGTGTATAACGTATTCCCTTTACATCATAACCGTAAAAAAACAACTTAGTCTGTAATTTACACTTTATATGGTATCACCATGATGAAGAATTCACGTGGAGAAGTTTGAATATTTAAAGCAGAACTGCACCCTCTTATCCCTTACAGCCAAGTAACTACAGTGCAGTGTTTTTAATTAGAGTCAGAGTTTGTCTTCAAAATGTTGCATGAATTAATGGTGGTGAAGAAATAGTAGGCTAAACTGGTTGTATAGCTAGCTATATGTTGGTGAGGTTATTAATAGCTCCTGCCAAACAACCAGCACAGCACTTTTGTGCAGCAATCGCTGCTAGCTGACCCATGGAGTTCCTGGGTACTAAAGTAATTCAGATAACAAAATTATGGCAAAGAGAGAAACTGCTGACAGTTTTATTTTCTTTAAACTGCAATTGTTAAACATTTATAACCTAAATAGAAGTTCAATACTTTTACCTTTTAGGCAGATCACCATAGAGGAAGGGGAGCAACGGGCAAAGGAACTCAGTGTCATGTTTATTGAAACTAGTGCCAAAACAGGATACAATGTTAAACAGGTAAGTGGACATATACGTCAAAATTTCCACCCAAGATTTAGAACTTACAAGTTTATGTAGTAAAGCTATGTAGCATGAAATAACTGTGAGAAGTGCAGGGACCCAGAGCAACCAGTCATGACTCAACAATTAACTGTGATCCCTTCAGCAATCTTAAATCTGATTGCCATAGGCTATTACACTTGGTCAAAGATCTGTGAGGATGTGCCAAGTCTGGGTTCCCTGAACCTGTGATCAGCGGTTACATGCAAAACAGTGTATGTTTTGCATGTAACCACCCCCTGGACAAAATACGCTTTAGGAAATCTATGAAGCTATCCACATGGATGCTTACAAAGTATGAACTGCTGATGGGACTTGAGGGCAGGTTTAGGAAGCACTGCACTAAGTGACAATGCCTGTTAGTGTTGGTGGGATTCGGTATGTTAAAATGAAAAACTGTAACAAGTTTAGATTTTTTGATTCAATATGGTTAAATTCACCTGAACTCCGTAGCTTCATTCATTAATATATCTTTATTTTTTCTAAAGCAAGCAGTAAAGATGGACCTTAATTTGACCTGGTATCATCCTCTTGTAGTCCCTGTACAGGAGAGCTCTGACTTAGATATATTTCATCTGTGTATTAGGTGCTTGCCTGAAGTTTGACTTAAAAACTCACACTATAATAATATATAATATAATACATGTATTAATAATAATAATATCGACATGCCATATGTTCATAACTGCAAGACTTAGACCCCATTCACAGCAGGGAGATAAGCGTTTTTTATGTCCATTTCACAGGCGTTTTCTGTTCCTATGTAATAACTTTTCAAGGCGCGTTTTCAGACGTCCAATGAAAATCTCAGGTGCAAAAACGCCCTAAAAAAACACACAAAAATGCGCTGATCGGTATATTTCCATTGAAGTCTATGGAGCAAAACGAGCTGATAAGTGCCACAAAAGAAGCTCAGGGGCTATTTCAAACACCAGGCATATTTTTGGGTGAGATTCAGCCATTTGCATGAACGGCCCCCATAGGAACACATGGGATTTTAATTTGCATGCGTTTCAGCGTGGAAAATGCCCTGGTGTAAACCGGCCTTTAAGGTGCATTTACCTTGTATTAAACCTTTTAGAAGCACCTAAAAATGTACGGTGTGCTTTCACGTAACCTTGACTGTTCTTGAATGTCTCTTTCCTGCTGTTACTAGACCTCTGCAAGCATTTTCGCTGTGGTCTCAGTATTGCACAGCATCAAAGTCACTGCCTCACAACCTGATTTCTCCATTGGAATAAAAGGGAAAAGTCACAGTAATGTTTTGCAATGGCATTAATCAGCACCTTGCAGGACTTAGTTAGGGCTTTCATCCTTCAAAAGGTGTGTGGTTTTGGCATCTTTAAAGGTGTGTACATTTAAAGGGTTATTTAGTAAGGAAGGTTACCTTAAGGCAGGGCTCATAATTTCAGGTTCTGAACTACTAGCCAGTCCTTAAGAGTTACTCGCCACCAGTTGCCCACCTAACCCTTACCCTGCCCTGGCCTTAACTCCGCCCCTAAACACACCCTCTTAAATATCTTAGGAAATGACACTGTTAAATGTTTCATTCAGAATAAAGTTACAAAAATAAATATTAACAATAACAACATTAACAATATTAACATAACGCAATGTAAACATAAAGGGAAATAAGTATCAATAAAAATCAGTATTAGGGTCAGGTCAAGGGTTACAGTTACATTAGGACTACTTTGAGTAACTCTTTTACTATTAATGTAATTATTATATTAAATTTAGGATTTAGTGTCAAAGTTAGGTCAAGGGTAGGAATAGGAAAGAGGTCAGGGAAATTGTTGAACATTTCTTGAATATTTAATTTGTTTTCAACACTAAAAGCTTCTCTCAGCACCAGGCAACTGGTGCCGAAAACCAAAGTACCTATACAGGTAAGCCATAGGATGAATGAAGGGAGCAATGTAATATGGTAATAAGTAGATGAGCAGGTCTTTGATTCAGGATCCAGGAGTGCTTTGTTATTCTGAGACCAACTTTTACAAAGTAGCAGGGAGAAAGCCTTTTGCTTCATAAAAAAAGTACTGATCAATAAGTAATAAGTAATAAGTAATATAATAATATCTTAACATGTTGGTGGCTATCCGTGACATAGTCCTTTCTATAATAAAAAGCTGGGACCATAAACAGTACATTTTCAAGTGGTGTATTTACAGTCCATTCTTTCTAGATATGTACACCTAGAAATGAATGACCGGAAGTGTAAGGCAACAGTTTTCCCTACCCTTGTAGTCTTCAGAACTATATATACTGGCACAGAGTGGGAAAACGCTGTCATCTAGCTGCACCACCCCCAGCATTGGCTGACTTCACTATTATGATATCTGGTCTTGTTAATGTTAGACCCAGGCTAGATAGTTGACTTGGGGTAGAATAGGGGCAGTACAAGACAGTGGCCTTGCAAGTGGGAATCTGGCCCTCATTTTAAAAAGCATACCATGATTTAGATCTAAAATTCAGTTTTTAACAGAGTAAAACATGGTACATATTATATAGTACATGCTAACATGGGTGTCTGTGAGTCTTCAACATACTAACCAATACCCAAGCTCACACATACTCAGTCATGTTTTTTTTAATAAAGGGGCCTGTCCATTACTCTTAGGATTAGATCTGAGAGGAGGTTCGTGCACAATATCTTCTGGTGGCAGGATCCTCATATAGTGAAAGCAGATGTTAAATTCTCACTTTATAGCACACAGGAGGAAGGACTGAGACTCACATGTGATGTGAGCAGCTGATCACTCAGATCTGAACTCTGCTTTATGCACAAAATTCTCAAAAGAAACAAGATGAGATTCAGATAGCTATATACTATACAGGTGAAACTCGAATAATTAGAATATCGTGCAAAGTTCATTTATTTCACTAATGCAACGTAAAAGGTGAAACTAATATATGAGATAGACTCATTACATGCAAAGCAAGATAGTTCAAGCCGTGATTTGTCATAATTGTGATGATTATGGCTTACAGCTCATGAAAACCCCAAGAACCCCAAATCCACAACCTCAAAAAAGTAGATTATTACATGCAATCAATAAAACAAGGATTGTACATAGAACAATATCGGACCTCTGAAAAGTACAAGCATGCATATGTACTCAGTACTTGGTTTGGGCCCCTTTTGCAGCAATTACTGCAATTACTTTTGCACGATATTCTAATTATTCGAGTTACCTGTATATACAGTGACAAAAGCCAATTGCAATCCCTTCTATTAACATAGAGAATAGGATAAAGTTTACACTTGCAAGTAGAGTTAGACATTCATTGAGGTGCATAGGCATCTGGGGAGCTTTACATGCAAAAACAAAATGTCACCCGTAGCACCCATGTCACATACAGTGCTGTTAATATTTCTAAGCAAACTTTCCTTTTAGGTGGTCAAGCTCAAGAGGGCACGCTATATTTTGACATACTAAACTTTCACACAATATGAAATTACTGGTCAGTATTTATTTAAAGGTGATTAGTGCGATCACCATGTCATCTGGATTCTATTGCATTATTTATGTATATTTGTCTTGACATCTTTTGAAAATGAAAGCTTTGGAAAATATGACATATCAGGCATAGTAGATTTAAAGAAAAATGTGTTGCTCACAACAGCCAATACAATTCTTCATTAGGAGAGTGGCTATCGCTATCCATTGTGCATGGTACTTTACTCAACTGTGCTTTTAATTTAAAAAAATGCAGAGGGCAAGGTAAAGCCGTCCACAATGCTGCTAAGAGCACTTCATGAATGGAGGAGAGGCTGATCACATGACTTTAACAGGTAACATGCTTGGGATCTCCAAGTGCTGTCTTCCCTCCATTCATTCATATGCTTTGGTTTACCTCGGTTTGCCAAAGTAAGGTTATATAAACTGAGCTAGAAAATGACTAGCTGGAATGTGGTTGGTTGTTATTGGAAATGCAGACATATTTTATACATCTGGTCAACTAAGGGAATCAGAGAAGAATTTTAAGAGTTTTATTAGTTGGCACATCATTTGTAGAGTGACTGAAAATAGGGAGCCCACAAGCAATATCAAGGCCATGATCCCAATATTAATAACACACGGTGACTTGCAATTGCTTCCTTTACAGCTATTTCGCAGAGTGGCTTCTGCACTGCCTGGGATGGAGTGTACAGAGGAGAAGAGCAAGGATGGCAGTATCCTTTATCATAGAAGTTTTATAACCTCAGAATCTGAATCATTGAATTTCTCTTATATTTCAGGAGATACAAAAAAAATATACATTGTTTTGTTAAGGTCACCTCCTTGTTCCCTACATATTAAAGGACGTACAGCATATACGCAAACAGATGGTTTTTACAGAGTAGAGTCCATAAAAAAACCTTATGACAAAAAAATGCGCATGGGAAAAATCTGTTTTTGAATAACTTTATGGAGCAGAGCATAGCGGACAGAGCCTTGTACTTGCATATACCGTAGCTAATATTTATTAGATGGCAACATGGTCAGGGAGTTATGTGGTTACAGGTGCCTACATACCCATTAGAATGTTTGCCGTATCTAGTTGCTTAGGGTCTACTCAAGTATTGATCTTTTATAGCTAATTAAAGCTGAATTCAAGCCAGTGCAAGCATATGCCCAATGCCAAACGACTGCTGTAACTTAGTCGTTTGTCTTTCTTTTCATAATCTTGCAGTATTGTCTGTTTTACATAATCTTTTTCAGTAATGACTGCCCCCTTGTAATACTATCAAAGCAGCTCTGATGTCCTTATATCAGAGCTGCCTCCAATGGATGGATCCAGTCTGTGGATCACCCCAGTCTTTCCCCACACATACATGCCCATTGACTTTGATTGACAGGCCCTGCAAATTAAAAGTAGTACTGTGTGAGGAATGCATATATCTGTAGGATGTGCCTCACAGAACCCTCTTTCTGAGGGCTGAACACTTCCAGGAAGTTATAGAGGATGCAGTGAAATAACAGGCAATACATACTCACTTTTATATCCATATAAGAAAGAGAATTGCAACATTTTTTTGTGCGTTTTGCCAGCACGTGGGAAGAAGGGGTTTGGGGTGTAAATGAGAGCAAATGTGAGAACTTATCCTGAAGTATGGAAAGTATGGAAAGAATTTGTTAGCATTAACAGCGCAATCAATAACATGAAATATAACCAAATTCCAATATGAATTAACTGGAGTGTGAAAATAACACAAAAGGTATACAGAAATACTCTGACATATCAGGGAGTCATCCATCCCCTACCTCAAAGGAGAAAATGTGCACACAGGGCTGGATTTACTCTCCCTGCCGCCCCAAGGCCAGGTCCTGTTTTCTAAACTTTTTTATCACTTTTTATTTTTTATTTAATTATTTCTTTATTTTTTTTAATTTTTATTTATTTCAATGCTAAGTGAGAGGGTATAACCACTATAATCAAATGATCAGTCCATGCCGGGAAAACTAATGCGCTACTCACATAAGCCAGCCGTGTGAGATTTCAGGACATGTTTGTACAAAACAGTGTACAGAAAGCCCTGGTGGTGCCAAGGAAACTCCAATACAGGAGTTCTAGCACAGCACTGTGCTGGAACTCCTGTGACATGTGAGACGGGAAGAGCACAGCTCTCCCCTCTCACTGTCTACAGTCTGCTCGGAGCGGCAGGGTTACTTATAAAGGTGCCCATACACTTTACAACCATCGCAAGACCTTAGTCTTGCGATGGTTGTAAAGTAATTAAAAAACGTACGATCTGCCCATCTTGGACAGGCAGATCGTACTTGCAATCATCGGAATCATCGGAATCATTGCGATGACCGCAATGCTGAACAGGCAGTGTGCTCGTGCGCACACCGGCCTGTGCGGCATTGATCTTACGATCATGCTAAAAACCAGCCGAAAATCGTACGATTCTCGGCTGGTTTTCTAGCATACTCCTAAGACAAAAGATGTGCGACCGTACAGTAAAAACGGTTGCACGCCTTCCATACACTGTGCGATTATCGTACGAGTGCGGGATTTCCCGCGATTATCGTGCGATAATCGCACAGTGTATGGGCACCTTTACCCTGTCGCTCTGCTCACTGCAGTCATAGACTCGGGACTCGGCGGTGGAGGACGGAACCAAAGGAGAGAGGTAAGTGCAGGGGGAGGGGGAGAAGGCTGCACACTGTTTACATGTGAAATCGGCAACATCGCTGATTTCACATGTAAACGAAAAATCATCTGCCTCACTCTACATTTAGTCCTGCTTGTATAAAGCAGGACTGAATGTAGAGAGGGCAACTTCCCCACAAGGACACCGCTGCAAAACACACGTGCAGTTTATTTATAACTAGTTACAAGAAAAGTTGAGCAAAACATGTTGGCCACTTACTACATACACAGTATCCCTCACTACCAGCTAGGTGCAACCTTGTGCTGCCCCTAGCACCTATCTCCCTATTCTATCAACTGCCACACAGGCTGTGTCTCAGTGCACGAGATTTGTTTTCCTTTGTCACCACACAGGTCAGTAGAAACCTCCCCAGTCTATTCAGGCATGAAACTGGTTCCATGGTGGAGCCAATCTCTGAGCAGTCTGGGAGTTCTTATAGAGGCCTCATGAGCCAGCTTACTTCAGCTGGGCTCATTACCTCTACCATTTCAGCCTCCCAGCACTCCCTCTAGGGAAGAAAATCTGCATGCGACCTGAACCTGGGACACACATACAGGTGAAACTCGAATATTTAGAATATTGTGCAAAGTTCATTTATTTCACTAATGCAACTTAAAAGGATTTCACAGTGCCTACCTTTACTTTCCTAATGGCAGAGTTCATTAAAAAACCACAGGTATGAGTTAAGATCCAGCCACTCCATCATGTATCTATGGCAGGAAGATCTCTTGTAGATTTGTCCATGCACAGCTAAATATGCACTGTCATGTCATATACCAGCCATAACTAGTAATGAAGATAGTTCATATCTTGGGTTTTATTTTCACTGTCAGGTATCCTGTATATATAAGTTCCTTAACTGCTCATCCTCCACTATAGTGATTGACATTAAACTTGACAAACCTCAAGAACCGCAAGTAACTGATGCTGGGTGCTCCTGCTAATATGCAGCGCATGACAGGTGAGCTGCCAGAGGCCAGGTGCTTACCCCCGAGATGCTTCCTATTGGTTAGCCTGGAAAAACAAACATTTGGAAACCACATCCAGAGAATGTCAAGATCCTCCACTGCTCCTAACTTCTCCCACCTCCCTGGAAACCTTGTTTGCTTTTTTTGTCTTTTTTTTTGTCTTTTGGCTCTTGTGTTGGTCTTGAGTCTTCTGCTCTCTCTTCTACTAGAGTCCCTCCATAATTGTTACTCATTGCACTTTTATTCCACATTGTCTCTTCTTTCTCTCCCTCTTGTGCTCACATCCCCAGGTCCTTATATATGCACCTTGTTATCAACAATTAAATGTACAGGATCACTCCCCTTCTATCGAGTGTCTAGACGTAGATAGTAACTGTACAACAAGTGGTTTATTCTATGCCAACTGGTGAAAGCCAAGAGTACTCCAAATGGATTTGATTTAAATATGCACATGTAAATCCCCTCATTCACCAAGCTTCCTCTAACTTCATTTTTACTATTCTAGATCAAATATACTTTCTCTTCCCTGTGATAAAAAAAAAACCTCCCTACACATACAACCTAGCCCCCTTTCCCCAACACACCTCAGAAGAGAAAGGAAATCCTGACTCTAAATGCTGTTATTAACATTTTTATTTTTATTATCAGTTTTTGTTGTAATATATGTATAATTGTACTTTATTAAAATTGCCAAAAACTATGTGACACAAATGTTTTGTTGTGTTGTTTTTGTAATATATGTTTAAATGGCAGATGCTTGAGATGTGCAGAAAAGCTGCTCAATGTATTTTGACTGTAATTTGCCCGGGATCTTCCAGATTCTACATATCAGAGATGGAGAAAGGATCCGATTGTTAAAATTCTGCCCAGTAATACTAATAACTAATCGTTAACACAAAACAGACATGACAGGAAGCAGAGGGTTCTGTCAAAGAAACACTGTCATTAAATGGAAATTAACAATACCCCCTCCACATTCCAACAAGACCTTTCACCGCTCCTCATGAAACCTCTACATAACTTATACAGTACATACATGTTGCTGTCGGAAAAAGAGAAAATAATCCCTTCTACTGCCATCCACTTTGAACCCAAACATCCACAGCACACAATAAACATTTTGTGCAGATCAGACTAAAGACTAAAGTGTATGTAACGGCAACATTCTTTTTGATAGAAAAGTGAAGCAGTTCAACCCCCTGTCATGTTTTTATTACATAGGAAAAGGAATCACCAGCACTCAGTAGAATAATCCAACATGCCCATTTATTGGACATAGACGTCACACAATCACAAGAGCCAACGTTTCGAGACCACGCAGGGTCTCTTCATCAGGGCATAAAGAGTGACCACTGCGTGCTCTCGAAACGTTGGCTCTTGTGATTGTGTGACGTCTATGTCCAATAAATGGGCATGTTGGATTATTCTACTGAGTGCTGGTGATTCCTTTTCCTATATTGTGTCTGCACGGTGCCATCCGTGTTCATCACTACAAGCACCAGTCTTCATAGGCCTTGATTGCTGCAAGGTGTGCGGAGGATTTCCCCTTCTATCCAATAGGTTTTTATTACAGTCTATTTGCTACTGGGAGGCTCACCCCTCTATTTGTTCTAGTGACCACTGTCACGGAGACACAAAAGAGGGAAAATACAAAATATTAAAGTTGTCATCACAGCAAGAGGTGAAGGGAAACTCTTCAATGGGGACACCTAGTCTTATGACAACTCTCCATGATGAGAATGTTTGCAGTGTGCATGTCCTTGACAACGTTGAGATGGACATGTGCGCATGTCCAAGAGGTTGTCTGTGGCTTCAATATGAGGAAACCACTCATATGACTACAAATATGTGGAAACATAATCCTACTACTGTATTTGTTTGCCATATTGTGGTTGGGGATACTTTGAAGTGATAGTTCAAATATACTATAACATCATATCAAAGTCTATATTGCAGAGGACAAACATATTGTATTGCTGGTGCCCCAAGAAGTGGACTAAGGAAATATGACAATACATTAACATAATCATCAGCTGAAATAACAATACAGTGCATGAATTGATACAATGCTTGTAAAGGTAAGTAGCTGGGCTGTATTCATTTATCTCTCTCTGCTACTCTGCACTTCCCTCTTCTTCTGCAACCTATCTCCATCTCATGCAACCTACCTTCAACTCTGCCCCCTCTGAAACCAGTCTATGCTCCCCCCTCCTTTCCTGTGCCACATATCCATCCATTCCTCCCATCCTCTTCCTTTGTGCTTATTTTCAGCTGCCATCCTCCTTCTCTAGTGTCCTCCCGTTACCCTAAGGAGAACTATGGGGAAAAACGCTGACCCCATAGTTCTCCTTTTAAAAGCTAAAATTGGATCGGTTTGGTGAAGATACATGCACATTGCTGGTGATTATGCCGTCTCATGCAGTATTCCTAACAGAAACCTATTCATTTCCATTAGCACTGGCAAATCTGTGTCCGGTGAACTCCACTAGCCCGGGATGTCACATCTGTCTACCCACACAGCAGCCATCAGCCTCAACTCCATCTTCAATGCTGCATCCCCGGGTCGAGGAACCCTTCTGTACACCCCAATTTGGTCTTCTCTGCTGCAGGAGGGGTGCTGTGCCTACTACTTCCTAGCTCTGCCCTGCTGATGGGCTCACTGCCATACCTTCTATACCCACTTCATCAGTCACCCTGATTGTAGCACAAGATCCTATTCTCCCTGTACCAATTTAGCCAGTCACTCCTCTTACAGACCATATTGCTCCTCCACCTATCACCCTGCTGTCACATCCTCATTAGATTCTATACCTCGGGGTCAGGAGACTCGAGATCAGGTGGGATGCCTTAAGATTTTGCATAGTTTAAAAGTGTACCGTGACTCAAAAAAGGGTGAGAAACACTGCACTAAAGACACGTGTTTTACATAAACATAGTTGCATAGTATTTGAGGTTGAATAAAGACATATGTCCAACCTATTGTGTGTATGTGTGGTCCTACTGATGTGTGCGCATGTATAGGTCACTGAGTGTTCTCATTCTTAAGAGTACTTGTACCCCTGTATATTACGGTCCCTGAGGAAATCGTCCAATCGCCTCTTGAATGATTCCACTCTCAGCCAAAATCACAGCATGGGGCAGCGAGTTCCAGACCCTGACTGATCTAACTGAGAAGAACCCCCTTCGCCCCGTGTGCTGAAATAAAATTAAACACGACACAAACATTTTAACTACCTCCGGGCCGGCCAGGAGCTCTCTCGATCTGAGCGGGCGTCTCTAGACATAGCTAAAAAAAAAAATGGTCCAGATGTGTTTGCATCATGTAACCACTGCTGTTGTTTCCCATGCAAGGTGGGGGCTTGGTCCCCATGCTGAACACAATGCTACATCTACTGTAGTTCAGGCTGAAAGATACATCAGTTATCCCAATGCATACGTGTAAAAGGTAGTTTTACAGTTAGGAATGCAAAAAGAAAAACAAAAGATAAATAACCTCCACAGGCCCCTATTCTCAAGTTAAAGCTGAAGTTTAATCTGCTTTTATTTTGCCTTCCCTGGTTCCTCCCTACCCCCTCATCAACATGCTAAATATACATTTCAAATGAAATCATTCTGATTGAATTACTTTTTTTTAGTCCCAGTGTTGTCATTACTGGGTCTTTGTGCTTTGCTATGCAATGCAGGCAGATCTTCTTCGGACCTGAAGGCCCTTAGGGCCTGTTCACATGATATTCAGGTCCTGATCAGGTGCGGATCTGCAGACGTGGTGCTATGTGTCTTACCGCGTTTTTGATGCGTTCCAGTATATATTAAAAAAAACAATTTTTTTTTTTTTGCTGGAGTGGGGCTGTCAGTATGTTAGCTGCAGTGCAGTGTGCTTGACGCGCTTTCGGACCGTACAAAATGTGACATGCAGTTTTTTGTCTGTCGTAACCTGAACGGACTGCGCACGTGAGAACTGTAGCCCATAAAACACATAGGGATACATTGGGATGCATTTTTAGTGCAGGAGCCTACGGATCCGATCAGCACAGAAAACGGACGTCGTGTGAACAGGCCCTTAAGGAGGATGCATACTTTATCACAGCACTGTCTCAGTAGTGCTCCTCGTCCCTAATGTAAGCAGTGGCTGCCTCTTGGGAGAAGTTATGCAAATACCAACATTCCTTGATAGGTGTATGTAAGGCTGGAGGAGTGACCATTCTTAGGCAGGATGCTTTTGCACGCAGACAACCCTAGGTAACACCCACATGTGATGCTGAGCCTCCATTATTGAAGGAATTCAAATTCAATGAATGCAAGCGGTGCCGCAGGGACAATTAGGCTGGGGAAGGGTGGAGAGCCAGGAAATGAGACAGCCTCCATCTGAATTTCTGCTTAACATTGCTACGGTTTGCAGTGAAATCATAGTAAGCAATTGCAGCACAGGAGAGGAGCCGGTACAATGGTGCAGGGCTGCAGGGAAGGCCAGGGTCCAGCTTTAAGCAGAACTGAACAGGACACAACTATTTCGCTTTCATGATACAAAAGGAGCTTCCTGTGATTTGTTCTAGTTGTTCTGCCCCACCATGATGCTCAGGAGCAGATAGTCTGAAAAGAAGATATGTCAGAAAGCAAAATCTTTTTAAAAACAATGAAGCGCCACAAACTATCACTCCTCAATGGAAAATCCTCTTGGGCATGCTGCAGGATGCTGCCCCAAAGAAAGCAAAATCTGTATAAGCAAAAAGAACCTACATGAGAAAGCTCTGATGGAAGCAGTCAGTCCCCAACTCACGTGCTATATATTTCTCATCCACAGTGAAGCTGAACCTATTCATCGAATCAATGTCCTGGAACTAGCGGGCAGCACACAAGTCTAGAAAGGGCTGCTTCCATCAAAGCCTCACAGATTCCCTGCTTCATGAGGGAGTCCTTTCATTGGTTATAATTAGTGATTTCAACCATTTCCATTTATAAAACATTTTTATGACAGAATGGAAGAGTTTGAGAAGCCAGCTAATAGTACAGACAAACATGTGACAGATACATGCCATCTATGCTCTCATATGTGGC